CTGTGTCCCATAGAAGTTGGGGCTTTGTGCTGTTGTTGTCATTTGTCTCCATATATTGCTTAATCTCTATTTTAATTTAGTCATTGATCCATTGATTATTTAGGAGCTTGTTGTTAAGCCTCCATTTGTTTGTGAGCCTTTTTGTTTTCTTTGTACAATTTATTTCTAGTGTTATACCTTTGTGGTCTGAGAAGTTGGTTGGTAGAATTTCAATCTTTTTGAATTTACTGAGGCTCTTTTTGTGGCCTAGTATGTGGTCTATTCTGGAGAATGTTCCATGTGCACTTGAGAAGAATGTGTATCTGCTGCTTTTGGGTATAGAGTTCTGTAGATGTCTGTTAGGTCCATCTGTTCTAGTGTGTTGTTCAGTGTTTCTGTGTCCTTACTTATTTTCTGTCTGGTGGATCTGTCTTTTGGAGTGAGTGGTGTGTTGAAGTCTCCTTGAACGAATGCATTGCATTCTATTTCCTCCTTTAATTCTGTTAGTATTTGTTTCTCATATGTCGGTGCTCCTGTATTGGGTGCATAAATATTTATAATGGTTATAACCTCTTGTTGGACTGACCCAGTGTCCTGTAACTTTGCTGGTTTACCACATCATTGTAATAGGTTAGATGAGCTTATATTGTTTACCGCAGTCCTAAAAGGCAGAAATTCCATTTTATTTCAAAGTCTGGACAGGAAAGGAATAGAGGGTATTAGTAATTAGGCCTTTGTCCTGGGGGAGCTGTTTTTCTTTGCATTCCAAAAATATTTGTGTGCTCATAAGGTGCACAGTCCTGAGTGGGGATTTCAAGGAAAACTGTCTCTGAAGGGATTTGTGATCTGCTGAGAGGTTAAAAGAAGCCATATCTGTGAAAACTTAAATGTGAGGTGTTCTATGGTTTAAAAGGGTATCTTTTACTCTGATCTCTGGGTAGATATTCTGCTGCCACTTCAAACTGTCACATCTCCATTTCAGTTCCTGATGTCATAGTTGTCCCTATCACTTAGGGCCAGAACTTATTCAGTCACTTCCTTTTCTTCCTCAAATCCAGTTGGTCCTGTTAATGTCTCTTATCTGCCTTTCCTTTCCATTCCTCCTTCAGGCCCCCTAATTTCTGACCCAGATCACTGGAGTTCTGAGTTACTGTAGTGGATCCTCATCAGCTTTCCCTGTCTCTCCAGTCAGTATATCTGCAAAAAAAACTCCCTGTTTATCTTCCTGCTCTAGCACTTCCTGAAACAGATCATCCCTTGCCCTGGAAACTTCAATTGCTCCACGTGGGTTACAGCAGGGGTTTTTTAACCTGAGTCCCCTGAGTTTAGTGGGTACCTGCCCCTTGAAATGCTATGCAATAATGTAGTATGTTGTAAGCAGAGCTTTTGTCAGGATCAGCAAAGGTCCCATGAGCCACAAAAGGTAAGAACGGTTAGTCTGCAGGTTGTGTTCAGCTTTCGAATTTGGTGAGCAAGCTCTTTGCAGACCTCAAACCACGTTTGCAGCCTTGCTTTTCACTACTTTACTCTGTGACCTATTGGTTCCAACCATACTGATTTCATTGTCTTGACCTAATTTGCTTTACTTACCTTTCCTCACCTCACTACCCTAACGACACTCATCAGTTTAGAAGGCAGATGAGGCAACACTGTGCTGCGAACGTCGCATCTGCTTTGTTGCCTCTGCTCACCCCATTCTCCCTTAATTCTTACTGATGGTTTTTCTGAGTGTCTCGCTTGCAAATCTCTGTATTTCCTTTCCTGGCCACTTGGTTTCAAAGCAATTTCTTCTTTCCCTAAGTGTATTTAGCTCTCTACTTTTTGCCATTCATTTGGTACCTGTCTTGACTTGTTAAATATACATATCATTAGTTTGCTTAAATACTTCTTGTATTAATCTGCAGTAAGTATATACCTTACACATAATAAAGAAGGAATTATTTTGTAAATGTATCTAAAATGAAAAAGTTAAGATAAAAAAGAAACCTATCCTTTGATTAAAAGAATATATTCACTCATCCTTTCCTGAACAGATTTCCTTGTTCTGGCCTTAATATTTTTGTGTTATCTTCATTCTCAGTTTTATCTGTAGGTGGCTTTAGTGATTCCTTTTGTTGCAAAATGAGACCATGAACCCTTGGGTTAATAAATTCCCACCCACTTGCCCCAAACAGCTGTTTCATATCAGACATGATTAGAATATGTGCTTTAGTTCACTCCAAAATCAAACCATAAGTCTATGCCATTTAACACGAGGATCACTAACATTTATCTTAAACTGGTATCATTGATCTTGAGTGAAAATGGTCCCCTGCTTCTACGTGGTTTTTCAAAAGTAAAGACCTATTTTTCCCTTCTGTGATTGTTTATTTGTCCAGAAAGGCCTAAACAGTGAGAAGCCTAATCAATATGTTCTTCATAGAAAATTAACATAAAACATCTGTATTCACTACTTTGGTATTCTTAAGGAGAATTGATAATCTGCTTGGAACTCATGTCTGTGCAGAGGGGCTGTTCTGCTGGCCTGCAGAGGAGAACAGAAAGTGATCATTAGATTAAAGATTTTATGAAGCTGTGAAGCCATGAAAAACCAGTAGCTCTGGTAATTGCCCCTCCCTGGCCCAATGTGGTATTTTCCTAGAACACTGTTAAAATGGTCCTCCGATTACATCTTGAGTTTATTGTATTTTGTTTATAGCGTTATGCCTTAGTGGGGCCTCAGCAGACTGGTGGCTTTCCACCATCAAAGGCTGTCAGCCTGCCCCATCTTGTACCAGTAAGACTTAGTAGTAGTCTTGTGTCCACTTCTGGGCACGTGGACCCCAGGCCTTGGGAAACCTGTCATTTTATCACACTGTGCTGCAAGTTCTCCTGATTGTACCCTCTGACTTGGAAAACCTCAAGGGCACGCAGATCTCCTCACACGCTCTTGACCTTCTGCCTGTTTGTCAGACCTGCCTGCCACAAACCATGTCTCACCCCACCAGCACTTAACCCTCAACATTCTGGGAAATTGTGTCATAACCAGATTGTTTTCTTATCTACCAACTCAAGCCTTGTGTGGAAATTGACTTAGAAAGACTCTACTAATTTAATTTTTATTTTCTCTTCATTCTTTTTTTAATTTCAGAAGTAGCATTTGTGGCTTTATGTAGATGTTATAAAATAAGCTTTATATTAAAGGAGTTTATGCGGCCACTGTTAGCAGTTTGATCTGTGAAGATACCTATTTTAAATATGCTAGCTCTGCAAAGGTTAAGCTTCTAGGATAAACTCTCTGTCACCTACACTTGTGATGGCAAGAATGGGGAGCAAACTAGGAGAAGCTTGAGTACCAAGGAGCCTGCTCTGCAGGAGTCTGGCAGAGAAAAAGCTTGCTGCACCCATGGGAACCTAGCTTCTTTGCTGTAAGGGAGGAGGGGCAAATACTGATTCTTGAGACCAAAGTGAACTCATTAGATTCCAGCACAGTCAGTTTTAGTCAGCTTTACTCTTCCTGCTTTCTGTGACACAAACCTTTCTTGTGATCCTCAGTTTAGCAGTGTCCTTGGTAATTGGACCTCTCGTCATAGTCCTGCAAAAGCTCCCCATACTTGCATGATAAGTGAACCCCCTTTTATTGAGCAGCTATATATTTTAAATAATTGGCCCTGATTGACTTTCTTGACATTATTAGTCTTTGGCCCTCCTGAGGATGGTGTAAGTATCAGTTACTAGAACGGCTTTGTTTTGCAGGTCATGAAGAGAATTCCTCTAGATGCGAACTCACCTCCCAACCCAGCCCACATTCCTTGACTCACCTCTGTTGGCCGTCAGCTGCCTTAAACATTCACAACACTTTTAAATATCTTATTCTACAGTGTAGTATTTTTTCCTGTCAACTTTTTTACACTTTGATGAATTATGTGCCTACTTAACCTGAACTCTGCTGACTTCATAAAATGTTTTGCACTCTTCTGAGATAGAAGGTGCTATTCTTTTGAGAAATACATTACTCTCTCCCTGGAACCTGTGGATTTGAAGATGGTACCTGCCTGCTCACGACATGGGAATCAGTGAAATGTTTACTGTTACAAGACAATAGGACTACAGTGGGGCAGTCAGTAGGAAAGCATGTTCGGAGGAAAGATCTGTCCCAACAGAATTACACCCAAGTGTATTTCTAGGATGCCTTTCTTTTTCTGCCATCTTTTGGAATAAATTATTTTTCTGCTTTCTGTGGAAATCTGGTTTCAGTGTTGGTTAAGCTCATTTTTGTAAGCTTTTCTAGCTCTAGATATGCCTTTAAAAAATGATTTTGTAATTCAAACTTACTTTGGATATGTAAATCTGGCCATGTAGTTTGGGATACCTGAAGAGTCCAGTAAGTACTTTTCTAACCATTCAGTAAACATCTGAGTGCTTGCTGTAGCCAAGGCACTGGAGGAATCACAGGTGTGGAAATTGGGTCCCTGCAAGGTCATATCTGCTATTTGGAGAGGTAAGGTCACTATACTGTGATACAAGGCTGTATTTGACCATTGTCCATAAAAAAGTGGCTATGATGGTGACAGCTGGAGCATCAGTACCAGCCACAGGGACGAGGTCCTTGTATCTTTATGCCCACGGAAATAGGACTGAAAAACTAAGAGTAATTAAAAAGCATGGGACGGGGTCAGTAACTTTGTGTTTTGGGTAACAGGCATCCGAATAATTCACTAATATGGGAGCCTTATTAATTTTAAGAAATTAAAAATTGAGATGGATCTAAACTTTTAGCAGCTCATGGCTTTTTGACCATGAGCCAGGCCAAGAATGGATTTCCTGTTTTGCAGTTTGTACTTTTCTGTTCCTCCCAAACTATCTGAACTCATTGCTTTGCTATTCTTATGACCAAAGAGAGTTTCAAGTTAAAGTGACTCTTCTGCTTTCATTTCTTTCTTTCTTTCCATTTTTTACTTTCATTTTGAACTTGAAATTTTCCTGAGAGTTACACAACTCCCTCCTTCACATTTCCAGCAAAGGGGCCACTTTAACTAATTTCATGGAATCCATAAGGTCTTAAGGTCTTACTTTGAGGGGACTATAGTGATATATTGCTAACTGCATCATTTTATAGCTAAAGAATCTGAGCCCAGACAGTAAGAATTACTTGCCCAGTTTAGTGTAGCTGTTCAGAGGCAGACAAAGGAATAGGGTCCATGTTTTCAAAATTCCACTCTAGAGCCCTTCTCACTTGCCACCCTGCCTCTCAGAGTTATATTGGCCAGGAGCCAACGCTGGGTCTCATGTGGGAAGAAAGCATTTTGCCCTTGTGGATGACCGAGCTGTCTCCTGTCAAAGCAACTTATTTGGTCCCTAATCAGTGTTTGTCATCTGAGAAAGCAGTGCTGGTGGTTACTGTGGGTACCTAAAAGGATGCCACAGTTTTTGAGCCTTGAAAGTGGGGGCAAGTGTGCTCTGGCGCAGCGGTCTACCCAGATTCTTCAAGTCAGGCCCTGCAGCAATTATCACTGGGAGTCAGGCAAACACCTTGGGAGATGACCATAGCAGACCACCATGGTTTTGAAGATGAGCCTCATGACGTCTCCAGGATGGTGGGACTCCCCTTTTGCCTGTGTCAAGTGCGTGGCACACACTGATAGGGAGCACATTGGCACAGCACATGCTTGCGGCGGTGACAGAGGGCACCTTTGTGGGTTCTTCTCATTCATGATTGTGGTTTGGCACATTTCCAGTTTGATGGCATAGTTGAAGGTGGAGGACATGATCCTGACTAATCAAGTATCAGAGCTCTGACTTATTCTGTCACTTTGTACTTACCCACTTCTCAGTTGCTTAAAGTTAGACATTGAGAAGTAAGCCTGATTACACTGCTTTTTGCACTCCAGCTTGTGTACCATTTGTGGGATCTGATTCCTGCAGACACAAGATTCGTGTGTTGACTGCACTGATAACAGTGGGAAAGAAGGAACATGAGCACTGAAGGGCTGTGATACAAGGCAGATCTGCTCCCTTTGCCAGGGAGGTCTTCATCCCCCAGAAAGGCACATGCTACTCAGTAACTCATTAGATTCGAATTTGGTGAGCAGCAGCTCAGGCCCAGTGCAGCAGCTCAGGCCTGAACTTAGAGGTTCTCTTCAAACCCTACTAGGACTTACCCCTGATGAGGCCCTAATGGTCTCAGCATAAAGCCTGTGAAGAAGAAAGGAGCTCATTTCCTTTCTGGGAGACAAAGACCTCCCAGAAAGATTGATTGCAAGCTCCTAAAGGCCAGGTACTGTGACTGGTACCACCAGCTGTATTATTGTTGGAAATGAGAGAATGATGAAAGCAACGCAGTTTTCTGAGGATAATTTGGTAAGTTCCCTTTGCCCAGGAAGCCACTTAACCCTTGAGGCTGTTTCCTCATTTATGAAATTCTTAAAAATATTAGATGCAATTAATATGTAAACTCAGATTTCTCTTGACCTCATCCCTAATAACTGAACTGTTCTGTTGCCACGTGATCCAGCGGCAGAGGTGGATGCTTGTGAATCCTATTTTCCTTCGACAGTTCCCTTGCTCTGGTGCTTGCCTGGGCCCAGACAGGAAGGAAATCGGTCCAGCCCTTTAAAAGGATATTTGAAATGTCCCTGTTCTTAAAAGCCTTTCCAGGTAAACATGGTTTGGCCTTCTGGGATGATCCTTAGATTAGGAGGAGCCCTAGGTTTACAGTCTTATTTCATCACTGACTAGCTGTGTAACTTTGGGCAAGTCATTTAGTTCCTGAGCCTCAAGTTTTTTCATCTAAAATGGGGACAATACCTGCCCTTTCTACTCTATGAGGTTGTTATCAAATGACATGGTAGTGATGAGGCTGATTTGTAAATTATACTATGACACAGGCTATTTTCCAAAGAAATGACAACATCCCTAGGACTGACAGTACTTTTCCATAAAGATAGGCCCTAAAGGAGCAGTCACCTAATTTCTTTTTTCTTATGTGGTTTCCCTTTTGATAATCGTTTGTACTTGAGTTACAGAAACATAAAAGGCCTGTGCCAGGCTCCAGGCCTAATCTCTGAGCAGGGGATGGACCTCTTAGAAACAATCATAGACTAAGTGTCTGGACCACATCCTTGCTGCCCATCCAGGTTCTCCCAGCTCTTCTAGCAGAACCAGGAGTACTTCTGGCATTCTTTTGAAGATGTAGTCTGAGGGCCATTGGTTTCTTTTAACATTGCTTTTGTTATTTTCTTTAAACGCGTAATGATGTTTGTACCCCTATCATTGACCTAACAGTATTTTACCACATCTTTTGATGTTGCTTCATCTTTTTGTTATTTCTTCTAGCCAGTTTTTAAGTGTTTTACCATAGTGAGGAAAATTTAGAATTATTTTAAGTTGTTGCTCAGACTCATAGACAGTTTGGCCCTGGATTTCATCCATATTTGAAGAGTCAGTTGCTCCTTTATTAACTATAGTTAAATTATATTTTTAAATACATAGCTATGCATTTTAGAATGGCTCCATCACCCTATCCTTCTCTGCAAGAACTCTCTTCCATTTGGAGAACAAATGTTTAAAATGGAGAAGAACTCTTAAGCAAAAATTGCTTATTTTTTCCCTACTCCTTTATTTCAACTTTCAAGAGTTCAGTGGATGAAATTAATTGTAGAAAATCCATAATTTTAGAGGAAAAAAACAATGTAAAATGCCATTGTTAAAGATACTTAATAATAGCACCCTAATGCCCAACATAAGATGTTTCAGTAAGTCATGCTACATCCAAATGAAGGTGTATTGTGATGCATTTTATAAATTTTTTCTTCTGGAATATATGCCTATAAAAGAGATTGAAAAGACAACAAAATTATTAACATTGCCTCCAGATGTTAATTGTGAATGGCTTTTATTTTCTTATTTTTAGCATTTTCTCCAATGGAAATGTAGTACTTCAGTCAAAAGAAGAAACAATAAAAGTTACTTTACTAACAAAATAGAATAGCATGTTAAGAGGGAAAAAAACAGGATTTTAAACTTAATGTACATAGAAAAAAGCTTGGTAAGAAGTGGATCAAAATGTTGATGATTGTTTCTTTTACAACTTTGTGTATTTTCCAACTTTTCCACAAAGAGTATATATACTTTTATAACTAGGAAAAAAGAATGGTGTTTTTGGGAGGGACCATTGTCGGAATAGTGTTCGTACTTCCTTCAAACATTATGTAACACAGACACAAACACACACACTCTTAAAAGAATTTTTTTAGAGTAATTCAGGGTCAGGGGAAATGAAGTCAGATAGATTTATTAAAACACTGAAGCTATTCTGAATCAGTGAAAATCAGCGAGTTCACACAGCAATTCTGATTAACTGTTTCCGTTGTGCAGGACAGAGCGCAGAACATTCAGCTTTTAAAACTGGCCTCCTTTTGTATAGGTGCTCACAGTGATGGCTGGCGAAATGAAAAGGGCGCATTGATTCTGATTCTGCCTGCATAGAAAAGTGGAAGCCTGGGGTATTAATGTTCTGGGGTCCCACATGGCTTAGAAAAAGCCCCACTGTTCTTCCACTCCCAACTGCTAGCAAGTCTTTCATTCAGGCTGCACCACCATTTCAGTTAAAATGTGAAGTGTGTTGCCCCTTTTTTCTCCAACTCCCACGGCTTCCAGGCACAGGCCAACTGAAAAACAGGAGTATTCTAGAGGCTGAGGGATGCTCAGTGACTAATACTGCTACCCACATGAATCCAGTCAGGATTCTATTCAGATTGCTGTCAGGATTTTGACATAGTTCCCATAGTTTCTTAACACTGTCCAAAGCATGGTACTACTATGGGTTGTCACCCCGAAGTGGAACAAGCAGAGCAGATGGTTTTGTAAAAGTAAGTGCTGTATTTGAGGAAGCGTGAATTAAGAAGTGTGATTTTGCAAGCCACATAAACTTTCCAACAACATTCAACAGGTATTTTCACCTCCTATTCTTCGTCCTTATGTTAGCTGCTCAAGACAATGGTAAGCTGAAGAGACCCAACTCTGACTTCCTGGAGCTTTGAGTTCAGCAGGGAGAATTAAACAGCTTCCAGGTGCTAGGCAAAGAGGAGTGGTTGAGGTATAGTAGGCTGACCAGTGATGAAGTTGTTGCAGGAGTCCAGGAGAGTGAAGTGTCCTAATTGTGATAACAGGAACAAAATGAAGTCAGAGAAGTAGCTGCATTGGGGCAGCACTTATAGATGATTGATTGGATGCTTTGGGTCGGTG